AAAATTATGGCATAAATTTTCACGGACGTTTTGAATTTAAACGTGAATTTCTCCGCGAATATCGATGCTATAGTAATAAGACACATATCATCTTGTAGCCAAAAACCAGGGCTTTCGATCTATCTTAGAAACATCTTAGTAGAAAATCGCACCCTGTCGCCTAAATCTCGGCCAAAGTTAAAAAATCAAATTTTTCAGGCGGAAATTTCTGGAGGTCATGTGATATTTCCGTAAATCGACGCCTAATTAAATTTCCTGATGATATTTTCAAATGCATCCAAAACCTGGTAGATATGAAAATGTGTAGAAGCAAGTTTATTGAATTACTATGTGAACAAATTAATAAGGAATTAACAAAAAGTTCTGATGAAAAAACAAGAATTATAATAAATAATTTAGAAGAACTTGAGATTAAAATACATTCTTTGACAAGAGACATAAATAAGTTTTCTTTTATTAATATATTATTTAGTTTTTTATCAAGATTGTTAATAGAAATAATACAATCTGTAGTTAGTAATAAAAAAGACATGAATAAAATAATTAGAGGTATGATAGAAAAATTCAAACAATATATAAGAAAGAACATATAGGTGAGATATTATAATGAGATAAAAAGGTGAGAATTAGAAAATGATATATAAAATAGAAATAAATATAAAGTCTTAATTTTGTCAAATAATAACCAAGTCACAAATATAAACAATAATAATAATAATAGTAACACTCATAATAATAACACTAATACAAATAGAAAAAAATAGTAAAAACATAGTTAAAAATTTATGTAATGATATATTTAGTGAATTTTTTTATAAATTTATTAAGGAAAGGATAAAATGAACAGAAGTATAAAAAATAGGTTGTTCAGCAAAGCCTTAATATACTGAGGGCAAGTTTACTTGTCAGGCAGTAGGTTGTGGACATGTCTTATATAAGTTAGTTCGAGTCTCATCTTTTCAAATAAACATTAGAATAAGTTGTGTATTTTGTATGATATAACTCTATTAATGTAAAAGACTTTCTCTTTTTCTAATTAATAAATTTGAAACAAGGCCTTGCTGGAACTCAAAAAAAAATCTCATAATTATGAATGTGGAATATCATTTGTAAAGTTTTTAGAATTTTTACTTATGAATTAAATTTATATCAATAACTGAATATCAGATATCTAAAAATTATTAGCTGGAATTTAATTGCTTATTATTTGTTTAATTTAATTAAATATTCATGAATACTTCAGAAAAGATACTATATATTCTAAGCTTTAATGTTAATTAGTATTAATTTTATTACTACTTTATTAAATCAAAAACTTTTATATATAAAAATGATTAATAATTATTTTTGGATTTTATTTTTTTATTTTTTTAAAATTTTTATAAATTTTGATTATTTTTAATCCATTGATTTCAGTATGGACAATAATTAAAGATTAAATTTATTTTTTGTCAATTTTATTTAAAGTGTAATTTTTCTACATGTCAGTATTTAATATTAACAAAAAAATATATTATATGATAACTTGAATTTAGGAAAATCTAATAAAAAAAATGGTTGTGTAATTTAGATTACTCATTGTGACACAAATAACATTTTAAATTTAATAATTTTTTTTTAAAATTTTCAACTGTCTGGTGATCTACTATACAATATATTCAAAAATTTTAAAATATTAAATCTTGACATTATTATTAATTTTTTTTTATTTATTGCCAAAATTTTTATTAATTTTATTTAATTATTTGTTTGTTAAATTGTAAATCCATTTTTTAAGAATACCACCAGTTCAAAGAAAATATAAAATTAATAAAATGACATGTTTTATAAAAAAAAAATTAAATAAATTTAAACTAAGATAAACAAGATAATCTTTTTAAGGTAAATAAATGAGATATTTCTCATCTATTTTAAGATACATATTTACCTTTAATTTATTAATTTGATCTAAAATATCTTTTGTCTATTATTAAATTAAAGTAAATTAAAAATTAGTAAGATAAATTAAAAATTGTTCAAATAAATTAAAGATTGGTAAATTAGTTTACCATTGCCCAATCAAATCTAGGATGACTCAATACTCTATCAATCAATTCATTAATGTGTATTTTCTTCTCAGGTTTTATAATTTTCATAATTAGTGATTCTAATTGAATAGCTCTGTATTCAGCTATTTGACGTGTAATTCTAACTCCTTGTACTTCCTTGAACTTTTTAATATAATAAAAATATAAAAATATAAGACAAATATATAACATTTAGTAAGAATTTTATCTTAAAAATATAATAAATAAAATAATGATATCTTCTATTCAAACCTTCTTGTTAACTTCTAAATCGTGAATGGTAATTGGTGTCCCATTAAACATCTTTAAATCATTTAATAAAAGTCTCTCATTTATATAAAACCTATCAGTATTTGTTATTATATGAAATGATGGTTCCTTTTTTAAAAAACATATTGTTCCAAATACAAGAGAAAGTAAACAACTATCCAAATCCATTGAATCTAAAATAAAAAATTAAATTAATTAATATTATAAGTTATATTATATTATTATATAATTATATAAAGATATTATTATTATTATTATTAACAAATGCCTCACCTAAATTAATGCTATTCTTGATTTCTTTATATGAAAGTTTTGATACAGTTTTCAAATCATTGAATAATAATAATATTAATGTAGAATGTAAACTCAAATCCACTTGTATTGTTCCCTGGATATAATGATAATAATAATATTATTATTAATATTTATTTAATTTCCATTTCATATATATTTTAATATAATAATATTCAGATATACTTTTGGATATGTTGCTTCTACAATACATCTGTCTAATCCATGATGCCATTTTAATACTTTCAATTTATTGTTATTTTCTCTGGCAATTATATTATTAAATGCATTTTTAATCGAAAGCATCTACAAATTAAATAAAATAATAGTTATATATAAATAAATAAATAATATAATATAATAAATATATTATTTGTATTATACTATACTTACAGTTGGTGACAAATTTACTGAAGATACAAAATTTGTCAAATAATTTGGCCAATTGTTTAATGTCAAAATATTTACATTAACATCCAATTCCTTTATTATTTATTTTTTTTTTTATAAAAAGTAAAAAAAAAAATTGTCTATTATAACTGATTATATATTAAATATATTAAAATATAATATATACTTACACAATGAGAATTTCTGAAACTATTATTAATTTTTTTAGAAGTATTCATGTCTTCAAGCATTATATCTAACTTTTTTGAAAATCCTTCTTCCATCCCTTTTTTTTATAATAATAAAGTAATGAATAAAATAAGATAATAATTATAATAATTATTGTTTAATAATAATAATTATTTATTTCTTTAAACTTAATAACTTTAATTTAATGAATTAATATATAATAATATTTACATGCTGAAATTATGTTTCCTAAATGTCTTTCATATTCTAATCCAGACGTTTCATTAAACAATAGCCTTTTTATTAAATCACTGGTATATAAGACTCTGAAAATTGTCTTGTCTTTATTAAAAAAAAATAAATAAATAAAATTTATCAAATTAATAAATAGTAATTCAAATAACTCAAGTAATTTAGTCTTACCTTCCATACATGAAAGAAAATTAGTCAAATTTTGTTCAAACTTTTGCCATACTTCTGGACTATTTTCAGGAGTTCTCATAAATTCATTTATTACATTTGCTATATAATTATATATAAAATTTTTTTTTGATAAAATCCATTAAAAAATAGATAAAAAATATAGAAATTTACTTTATCTAAATTTAAGATTATAATGATATAATAATATGCAATATAATTAATAAATTACTAACCAATAAATTCAATAATTGTAACATTTTCACTAACAAATTTTCCAATTCTTCTATGCCACGTTTCTTTAATCTTGAGAATAGAATTTTCATCCTCATAATCTCCTTCAACAATTGTATTAATTTCACCTTTAAGTTGAACTAAACTATTCACCAATCCATACCAATCATGTGCATTTTTGATAAAAGCAAGATTTCCCTTTTGCTATATAAAATATATATATATATAAATAATATTCTTATTAATATGTATATATAATCATAAATTTGTTCATTTATAAATTGTTGACAAACCTCGTAATAAGATCCAATAAGTATTTGTAATAATTCAATAGAATCCATATTGACAAGAAAATAATATAATGATTTTAATGATTGAGCACGAAATTTGTTATCAGTAAGCATAACATTTTCAGTAACAAAGGATTGTTCAACTGTATAACAAGATTTTCAATAATTATATTATAAAGAATATTGTAAATATAATAAATAAAATAATAATATTACAAAGAATATTGTAAATATATATAATAAATGTAATAAATATAATAATAAAATTATAAAATAATACAAAAAATAAAATAATACTTACACATTTTCCATATTATGTCAGCATTTTTATCTATCAATTCAGATTTTACCAATTTCAATAAAGAATCCTTTGTTTTTATCTGAAAATACGGTGCCATTTTTTCTCCTTCAAATTTCATTCTTTGTCTCACATAATATAAATATTCATGTACATTCCCATTAAGGAAAAGTATTTTAGATTGTTGTTCATAAAATTTAGCTGATTCATATAAAATGACTTTTTCTAAAATTGAATATAATTTTAAAACTTTAAACATTTGAATGGAGTTTTTAAAAGAGGTCTCATTAATTTGATCTCCTTCTCGCATTTTTTTAACATTCATGATAAATCCACCTAGAAGTCTTTTATTAAACACCATATTAGATGTTATTTGTTTACGAAATGAAAATGTTCCAATATCCCTAAATTAATATTTATAAATATTTTATAAATATTAAATATTATTATTTTATATTAATAATGTTTTATTATTAATAATATTTTATTAATATTCTATCAATATTTATTTCAAACCAATAAGATTACCATATTGAAGCTTTACCCATAGCTAGGAAAGAAGATTCCATAATTGAAAATTTTTTTTGAAGTTTATTCTGTAAACAAAAAAAAAAAAAAATTTACAAAAGTCATAAAAATTACAAATATATTAAAGAGAATAACATCATTCATACATACTATTTGTTCACATAATTTCATCCATTGAGTGACTACATAAGTGAGAAACGATTCATCTAGAATATCAGAGATACTATTTAATCATATATGTAATAATAACAGAGTAATAGATTAGATATGTGTTAATTTATTAAAATATAAAAAATGTAAAAAATATAAAAAATATAAAAAATATAAAAAATATAAAAAATATAATAAATATAAAAAATATAATAAATTAAAAACTATTTACTTTGACAAGTTTGATTTCAAACCGAAGACCACTTGATCGAATGTATTTTTTAATCTGGTATGAATTTCAGCTCGTTGTATTATAGATAGGTTATTAAATATCTCTTGTAATTCAGAAAAATTGATCAATGGAAGATTGGAAGGTGGTGATGAATTATCATAAAAAAATGATTTAAATGCTGTTTCAAACTTTTGAAATATGGCCGTTGAATGTGATAAAATTGTCAAATCTACATGAATAATATGAATAATTTAACAAATGTAACAATAATAATAATTTAAATATTAATTGAATAATAATTAAATTTTCACCTTCTTGGGTATTATACAGAGGACACGAATATATGGGATTATGCCTTTTAGAAAGCTTTACATATCGCATCATTCTTTCATCTAACATCTGATTTCAGTTGAAACACAAGAAAAAAAAAATATAATCAATTACTTAAAAGTAATATTATTCATAATTTAATTAATTGATACTTACTTTTCTATTGTCAATATTTAACTTATTACGGTGTGTTTGTTTTTTTTTAAAAAGAAAAATTTTGCGAAACATACATCAATACTACGCATTGATATGACTGGTTGAGAAGATAATACTAATAAATAATAATAATAATAATAAATAAATTCTAATAATAAATAAATACAAATAATAAATAAATACTAATAATAAATAATAAATAAATACTAGTAAATAAAATCTAATTCAAATATAGCATTTAGTAAAAATTTCAAGTTATATTTATAAGGAAATCCTTGAAGTTTAGTTTGAATTAGTTTAAAATTGGGAGCTGAGGGCTGAATAAAAATTAATAATAAAAATTACATTATTGATTTATTGCTTACCATACCATTATCTGTTTATTGTAATTTTATGATTCTCATGATTATTGTGATTATAAGATAATGTGATTATATTATATGTTGAGGTGATAGTAAATATATTTGTAGTACAGCAGAAAATAAAATATAAATTATTATAAAAAAGTTTTTGCAAATTAGACCAACCTATAATCTCTTAATCTCTCTTTGTTCGCAAAAAAAAAAAATATATAAATATTTAAATTAATTGTTATATAATTTAGCATTTCCATTCATCAATTTTCCAATTATTCAAAAAAATATTCAAAAAAAAGGAAAAAATACTTTTGAATAAATTTCAAAAAAAAAAAAAAAAAAAAAAAAAAAAAACTTTCATAATAAGATAATAAATTTTAATACTAGGCATAAAATATATAAAAATGACAACAATAGATCATCAAACGGTTTCGCAATTACTTCAACAAGAACTCGATTTCCAATTTTTAGCTTTTGATTCTTTAATTGCTCTTGATTTGGGTCTTTTGATTTTAACAAATGCTAAACAAAAAGGAATTCCCGTAGTTATTTCAATTACATTGAACTCGCATCTTCTCTTTCATTATTCTATGCCAGGAACAACTCCAGTAGATGCTGAGAATGTACGTAAAAAGAATAATGTTGTAAATAAATTTCATCATTCTTCTTTATACGTTAATGAATATTTAAAACAACAAAATAATTCAACGCATCTCGTCATTGATGATAAAGATTATTTAACAAATGGAGGTGCATTTCCTTTAACTGTGAAAGGTGTAGGAGTAGTGGGTTCCATCACTGTTAGTGGTCCATCATCACATTTGGAGGATCATGAACTTTTAGTAATCTCTTTGAAAGATTTCTTTGGATTAGAAAAGGAAGGAAAAAACAAAGTGGAATGAAGTGATAATTTTATAATAATTTTTTAATGTAAAATTTCTGATATATTTTTAATATTTTTTTTCGATAATTTTTTTATTAGTTATTTATTATACAGTATATCTTGGAAGAGATAAATATATATTTATATTATATTAATAATTATTTATATAATTATATGTTTTAATATATTTATTTATATTTATTTAATTCATCTTTAATCTTTTAAATAAATAAAAATAATAAAAATTTAAAAATATATAAAGAATATAAAAATATTAAAATAGAATCAAATAATACTTTGTTCTATAGATAAAAAAAAAAAATAAGATAAAATGGATTATAATTTATAAACGCGTTTATTCAGCCACATACATAAAATGTCTAATGTCTATAAAGGGATTGTGGCTTTTTCGATTTGATCTTTTTATTTAATGTCGTTTCATATTTATCACAATAATAATAATAATACTATTCAACCAAGTTTATCTGATGTTCCAAAGCGTTACGTTGCGATAATTGGTGGAGGTCTTGTTGGAACTCTTGCTACTCTTTACTTTGCGAAACGTGGTTGGGATGTAAATCTTTTTGAACTTCGTAAAGGTATTTTTACTTTTACTTTTTTTATATCAATATTTTTGCTGTATTTCTTGTTTTACTAAAAGTTATATTTTTTTTTTTAACCAAGACCCACGAATTCCAGAAAATTCGGGAAATTTTCAAAGATCCATTAATTTGGCTTTATCAGTTAGAGGTCTTAGTGCATTATCAAAGCCAAATTTAGATCTTGAAAAAATTGTATTAGAATCAGCGATTCCCATGAAAGGAAGAATGATTCACATTGGTAAAGATAAACTTTCAAGTCAACCTTATGGTAGTTTTGGCGAGGTAATAATATAAATAATTAATTTAAATAATTCGAAGATTTGAATTAGATTTTGAATTTGAATTAAAAAATTTGATTATTTTGTAATATTCAGAATATTTATTCTGTGGAAAGAAATTTCCTTTTAGAATCACTTCTTAATACCGTTGAATCATTTAATAACGTGAAAATTTATTTTCAACATCAATTAAAACGTTGTGATTTTGATACAGGATTACTTGAATTTGAAAATAAGTAGGTTAAAAAATCTTTAAATTTTATTTTATTTTTTTATTTTTATTTTAAACTTGAAAATATTATTAAATATTATTAAATTATTTAAATAATATTTCCTTTATTTTAATTAGAGAAGATGAGAAAATGGTTCAATATACTGCAGATTTGATTGTAGGTGCTGATGGAGCTCATTCAACTGTTAGAAGACAATTAATGCGAATAATAAAGTATGATGTATGTCGAAGAATATTTATTCAAAAATTATATTTTAAAATTTGAAATATTTTCAAAATTGATTTTCTTTCTAGTATGAATTATCAACAAGAATATATTCCACACGTTTATTGTGAATTAACAATCCCATCTAAAGTAACTGAAAATGGAAATGAAACAGAATTCGTTATGGATTCTAATCATTTGCATATTTGGCCAAGATATTCTTTTATGTTGATTGCATTACCCAATAAGGTAAGGTTATTATTATTATTATTATCATCATCATCATTTACATTATTCTTATATTTATTTATTTATTCAAATTGCATTAATATTTTTAAAATATTTATTTGTTAATAGAATAAATCTTTTACTTGCACTCTTTTCATGCCACATGAAAATTTTGTTTCAATCAAGACAGAGAATGATTTAATAATCTTTTTTCAAAGTAACTTTCCGGATTTTATTCAATTGATCGGTGAGCAACAACTTAAGAAAGAATTTTTCTATAACCCAAAAGGTTCTTTATTGTCAATTAAGGTAATATATATATCTATCTATCTATTTTTAATTTATTTTTATTTATATTAAATATTGAGAATATTATTCAATATTATTCGAAAATATAATCGAATATTTATAATTTCTTTATTATCTATATTTAGTGTAAACCTTATCATTATAGAAATAGAGCAATCTTTATAGGTGATGCTGCTCATTGTATGGTACCTTTTTATGGACAAGGCATGAATTGTGGGTTTCAAGATGTTGAATTACTTGATAGCATCTTTGATAAATATAATATAACTTCATTTCGTAGTGATGATGATAAATTAAATTTGGCATTAGAAGAATTTACCAACATTCGTCAACCTGATTCTGTGGCAATTTGTGATTTAGCAATGTATAATTATATTGAAATGAGATCTAGAGTAATTAGTCCTTTATATTTAATGCGTAAAAAAGTTGATGATTGGTTACATTGGTTATTTCCTAGAAGATTTGTACCATTATATACAATGATAAGTTTTTCTACTATGAGATATTCTGAAGCAATTCAAAGGTGGAAACGACAAGAGAGATTTTTAAATATAACTTGGTTTACTGTTACTACAGGAATAGCAATTTCGGTTTTCTGGAGATATTATTATTATCGAAGATTACGTTGGTGACGATATAATTGATATAATTACTTTATATATATTTTAAGTTAGGTATTTAAAAAATTACACGTAATAAAGATTCAACGTATGAAATTCAAAGTTGGGGTTTTTTTTTTATTTGAAATTAATATAATACCTCAAATAAAAAATATTAATAATGAAAAGTAAAATATTTTCTTTATTGATAGTTTTTTTTCTTTTTATTTTCATGCTTAAAATACCAGAAGAATTTTTTTAAAGATAAATATTCACAATGAATTTTTTATTCTTTATTAAATCTTGTTATTTAATCCTGTTATTTATCGAATATTTGAATATAAATAATTAAAAAATACAAATGTGACTCAAGTAAAAATTGATTAAATTAAAATAATTAATAATGTCGGAATATTTTTACATTATAATCTGAGGTTCCGTAATATTTGTAGCAATACATTTATGAGGTAAAATGCATCCCCCATTTATATAAATCTCATCATTAACTGCCACATCGTCTCCCAATACAGAAACACCTTCAAGGCGAGTCTGAATGATAAATAAATATGAAATGTAAATGCGAATTAAAATATATATTTTCATAATTAAATCAAAACCGAAAATAATATAAATAATATTAGATTTACCCATCTGCCAAGTGTAGAGTGCCATCCAATTATGCTATTTTTAACCCAGGCAAAATCTTTGACTCTTACTCCTTCTAATATAACGCATCTTTGTAATCTGACTCCGTTCCCAATAATAACATTTGGTCCAATTGTAACATTTGGGCCGATCCTGCAGTCCTTACCTATTTTAGCCGTAGGATCAACAAGCACATTACCACCGCATACATATTTATCGATTGCCGAGTTAGCTAAAAGTTGTGGTTGTTTTTTAGAAATATTTGATAAATATAAGACGGTGCCCGTTAAGAAATCTTTTGGTTGTCCAACATCCATCCAAAAACCTTCCAGATCGAAGGCATGTAATTGATAATCAGTTGCCATTTTCGGGAAGATTTCTTTTTCAATAGAGGTCGGTTTAAGCTAATTAAAAAATATATTAATTAAAATTAATTGATAAATTTTCTTAAATATTGAAAGAGATAAAAAAAAAAAATTCACTCTTATACCTCAATCCGATTTAGTATATCAGGTGTGAATATATAGATACCGGCATTGATCTTATTACTGACAAATTCCGCGGGCTTTTCGACAAATCGCTCGATTAAGGTCGAATCACGACGATTAACAATAACACCATACTTTGAGGGTTCATTAACTTTTGTAACCTAAAAATAAAAACTGACGATGTGTAAAGACAAATATGATATTTTGGAACATAATTCTATTTTGTAGTACATACCACAATGGTACCCTCATTCTTATGAGCCGCATGAAAATCTCTTAATTGTTCGAATGGAAATTCACAAATGATATCGCTATTTAATACAAAGAATGGAGATTTGTCCTTAGCAAGAATTTCTTTAGCCAACGCGAGTGGACCAGCTAAAAAGTTCAAAATACATTAGTAAAATAACTTAATAGATTAAATACTTCTTCCTAAGCTATATACTAACCAGTTCCTAAAGGTTCAGTTTCCACGCTAAATGTAATTTTAACTTTGTATTTTTCTTCATAATTTTTAAGAAGGTCAACCATTATTTCGGGACGATAATTTACGGCCAAAACGATATCTGTTACTCCGGCCTTTATTTTAAAATAATAATTTGTTTAAATAGAAGACAAAAAAAAAAACATAAAATTCTTGATTACTTGACATAACCAACCTTAACGAGACCCTCTATCTGATGTAATATCATAGGTTTATTGCAGAATTCCACTAGAGGTTTGGGGAGGGTAAGTGTGAGGGGTCGAAGTCGGGTACCAAAGCCTGAGAAAGCAAGATAATGAGATTAATTCTAAACATTACAATGATTGCAACGAAGTGGATACCTCCGACAAGAATTAGAGCTTTCATGTTGTATATTATTATGTTATTATATTATTAATAAAGCAAAATTTTTGGTAGAAAAATTTTTTAGAAAGATAGATTTTTTTTCGTTTCGTATTTGAATTAACAAAAAATACAATTGACCAATGTCGACCATTGTTTACGAAAATTTAATTGATCTGCACAATACATATTATAATAGAAGTACAGTTTGTCATTGACATTCTCTGTCTGCCCATTCTAAGAATCCATCTACATCTATTTGTTTCTTTTCTAAATCAAGTTCTAAAAATTTTCTTGCAATTAATTCACATGTAGCATATGAACGATGTTCACGATCATCATTAAATTGTGGCGGAATTGATTCATATCTCGAAAAAAGTTGCGATAATTGTCTCGCTGATTTGAAAATATTAAATGATAAATATTATAAATGAAAAAGGTTCAATTAAATATTTTATTAATTTACCTCGTTGAACAACGTGATTAGGAATGCCAGCAATTGTTGCACAAAAAGTTCCCCAAGATGATGTACTTCGGCCTGGTACAAGGCTGTGTAAGCATAACATTAATTAATAATAATTCCTTTTTTACCCTTTTTAAATATTATCGAATAAATTACCGGTAAAGAAATGTAAGTTCTTCATCATTATCATCCCTCACAATCTCCATGGTGACCAATGTTATCGGAAGAGAATTTGAAAGAAGATTGTTCTCAAAAATCTCTTTTTATTTTATTTTAAACAAGATAAAATTTAAAAAAATAGATCAAGTACCAATAAAATAATAAATAAATAAAATTCACATTAAGAAGAGTTGATAAAAACCATGAAAATGGGTCGCTGCTATCACTTTTGGACAATTTCTACCTCGTTTTAATAGATGTTCCATGACACCGCAGAATAATCCGGCACCATCTAATCCCATCTCGTGTTAAAATAAAATGTGTGAAATTATTTAAAAAAATTTTAAATTTACCTGTAGAACCGGTTCCTTTCCCGAATTCATCAAAAATTAATAATGATCTTGAAGTAGAGTTACGAAGTCCAATTGATATTTGTTGGAGATCAATCATGAATGCACTTTGAATCTTTTTGTTTAATTGGGTTGTTAATTGAGTTCGAAAACAATTTTGAATTTTCGCGTGACTCCAACCTTTGAAATTGTTTCCCTTGTCTGTACTCGAGTAAAAATTTTATCCGTCAAGCCTATAGTAGCCGATCCGGCTGGTACAAAACTTTTGATTATGAAAATTATGAATTTTTATTATTTTAATGAATTATAATAAAATTATAATGATCATTTACAAATTACCTTCCAATATGTGCCATATAAGTAATTAACGCGACTTGCTTCAAATATACACTTTTTCCAGAATAATTGGCGCCGCTCAATAATATGACACTGTTATAAAAGTTATTTGTTGTGGTAGAATTTTCTTCATCTCTTTCTGCATTTTCTTCATTTATGATTCCTCTACCACCAACAAGTTGTGTATCATTTGCAACGAATGCATCAACACAAAGTTCTTGTAATGGATGTCTGATAATTTAAAACAAAATACTCAATGCATATGCACATATTTTTCTAATTTTATATATTAATTATGTATTACCTTCCCTTTTCAATCATTAAAATATTCTCTTCAGTTAAAAAAGGTCGACGATAGCCATACCGCCTTGCAGATTCTGCCAAAGAAAGGTAACTAAAGGAATTATAACTTTTATTAGCATTATTAGTGGAAAATAATATATTCATATATATATTAATATGACAAAAATTATTACCAATCAAGTTCAGAACAAACTGCACTGGCATTTAATAATAATGGAACATGTTCTAAAGTACGATCTTGTAATTTCTGTACTGTTTCTATTTCTCGATCTTTTGGAAAGGAATTATGTGGGCAAATGTTTTTCTGGATTTTTCTTCCTTTTGAATTTATTGAAATTTATAATTTATCGAAATCATACCCACAATAAGCCCATGAATGTCACCCAAATATTCATCTAATTCTATCACGTCAATTTAGTTAATAAAATTTATTTAAATTATTTAAACCAAAAAAAAAAAAAAAAACCTTTACCTCTCATTTTGTCGTTTTTATAATATACAATTGTAGCTGTGCTGAACTAGTCATGTGATTAAAATAAGAAAATATTCTTTAAAGTTTTAGTAAAGAAAGTGAACTTACTTGATAATATAAACCATTGATTTGAAAGTCTTGTTCTTCCTTCCATTCCGGTTTCAATGGAACTGTAATTAGGTATCCCAGTTGTGGAAAATAAATGACATTTAGAGTGGATGCAAATTCGGTTGGAATAGTTGTACTAATTTCGCGAGCGACCTCTGACTAAAAAAAAACAAAGAAAAAATAAACGTGTGATATATTATTTGATTAATTGTTAAACCAGTTTAAAACAATAAAGTCAAGTATATAAACCAAGAAATCATCTAATCCGTCATAAGTTCGTTTCATATGATCTAATTCCTGCGATTTAAATATTTTAAAGAGAAATTTATTGGAATTTATATAAAATACAATATAACTAATATACTGATATGAAATGTGTGTGTAAACCTCATCGATATGTGGCTTAATTACAATTCGATTTTCTTTGACACTTTCATCGAAATCAATCTCGAAAAAATAAAAATACGAAAATATTATTATTAGTTTAAAAGAATTTGAAAAAATCAATAAATAATCATATATATATTCGTCGACCATATTCTCACCACATCATTTATATTAGATCCAATATCATTTAAATCGGAAACAACAAATATTTCTTTGATCTTTTAAAAATTTTATAAATTTTGATAATTTATTAAGGAAATGTGTTATATTAATTAAATACAACGATCATAATTGATTTACGAACCCTATCTAATATTTTAACATTATCGACACGTCGCAATTCTCTTAAAAGGTTTCGAATTTTAAGACAATAAAATGTAAACTATTGGAATCATAAAATTAATATATTTTATTGTTATTTATTATATTTATTAGTAATGATAAATACGTATGTTTTATCGTTCACCTGCAACGCATATTGCCAATCTTTTACATTTAATTTTCCTTTCATCTTTTCAATAATCTTTGGAATGTTTTTAATATGCTTTAAACAGGATGCCAATTGATTTGATATTTCCAAATTATCTGGTTTGAGAAAACATTCTATGGTGCAAAATCTCTCCTCAAGAACGGCAAGGTCAAGTGTAGGACGAAGCATCCATTGCTTAAGAAGACGTTTACCAATAACTGTGCGTGTATTATTAAGAATTCCTAAACAAATATATATATATATATATATATATATATTTCCAAAATTCTAAACTTCAGCTATAAAAGTATTAAATATATTAAATAAGTATATAACTGAATTTCTCACCAAAGAGTGATAAACCTTCTTTAAATTTAGTTTGCATATGCATATTGGGGTGTGATTCGTCTTCGAATATTTGCAGTGAGCTTTAACAAGTTAAACAAGACTTTATGAACAATTATGCCAGATTGATAAAACTACCTGATGATTCTTAAGTATAAATTTGAAATAATACCATAATGTATCCGCGTTTATTTGCATGAATTTTGTTCTATTTTCAAGATTTCAAAAATAAAATGAATAGAAAGCTCGAAATAATACAAATCAATCAATAAATCAATAAATATAATTTAAAAACCTTACAAAGAAAATTGTTCAATGGTTAAAACTTCCAATAATTGGTTATCTTGTAGCTCATCTGTCATTTTTATCCTTGAAATATAATTAATCAATGCTCCAGCACAACAAATCTATTAAATCAAAGAAAAATTATTTGTTCTCAATGCAATTTAAGAACTTTTAATAATCAAAAATTCAATGTTTATTAACTGTTTCGACACTCTCCATGTTTAAAATACTTGACAATTGTAAATAAATTTCTTGTTTGTTATTTTCCATTTGCTGGTTTGCCAGACGAATAGAAAAAAGTTTCGTCTTTGCCGAAGCATAAACAAATTCAGCACCAGGACGAATTTCCACCACGGTTTGGGCCGGAATCGTATCATCTGTTGTGAATACGATGTAAAAATGATGTTTTTTGATGATTTTTCAATTTATATTATATATATATTTTTTTTACCTTGAGACTGTAAGATTTGGATAAAACTTTCATCTGCACGTGAACTTGTAATAATTACGGATGGCTTAATTTGATATCTTACTTTTATTTTTAATAAAATAATATCTAATAAATTGTTTTTTCTTTCTAAAGAAATTTAATTTTTATAAAAAATCTCTTACATAAATTAACAACATCATATGGTGAAGATTCTTCAATATCTTCCATAAGATATAATGTTGAGGTGACAACGGCATAATAAGCACATCCCAATTTACGTTTTCTAATATTTATTGCCATGAAAACCTAAAAATAAAAATACTTTTAATCTTTAATCTTTATTATCACTCATCACTTGATATACCTTTTCAACTGCGCCTTCATCGATTTCATCATCATTTTCAAAAGTCACTTTACGATTCTCACTGTTTAGAAACGATTCCACATCCCAAGTTGTTGACTCACGTGAATCTATCGGTGAATTTGATATTTGTTGAATGGATGTAGATGGATCTAAGGAATTAATAAACGATGGACGCGTCGTTGTATAAGAAGAATTGTCATTTTGAATCATATCAGCATCCTCCATTTTAGAATCGATATAATCTATATTTATAATAATGTGTTGCTCATTTTCCATTTTTTTTTCTTTTCGAATTTTATTTGAAGTTATATTTAAAAAAAAAAAAACCAATCAAATATAAGTAATTTATTGAATTATTTTTGAAACAAACTATTAACTTTTTGAGTTCCATTCATACAAATTATACTTTTCTTTTAATAGTCATGTAAATCGCTAATTTGTAATACATAAATTAGTAATCTTGATAAAATTTTGAAATAAATTCAAAGTCGAAAAAACCCACTTTTTTATGTTTTCATTATTCAACCTTTTAACAAAAAACGTCTCTCACAAAATTTTAAATTTATCACTTACTGTAACATCGAACTCAAAGAATTCTTATACAAAACGTCCATTTATTCCATTTATTAAAATACAAAAAAACGAAATGCATTCCAAAGTTATAATTGTTGGTTCAGGTCCTGCTGGGCATACAGCTGCCCTTTATTTATCAAGAGCTACTTTAGAACCTGTAATGTTTGAGGGTTTTCTCGCTAATGGTTTTGCTCCTGGTGGTCAAGTATGTATAATAATTATTTTAATGGACCTGGATAAACGCATTTAATTTTTTTTTTTTTTTCAAGTTTATTTATGTTTTGTTTTGGGGGGTTTTTTTTTTTTCTATTTTTCTAAAAAAAAAAAAAGCTTACAACGACCACTGATGTAGAGAATTATCCAGGTTTTCCCGATGGAATCATGGGTCCGGAGATGATGGAAAAATTTCGTCAACAAAGTTTAAAATTTGGAACGAAAATTCTTACAGAGACTATTTCAAAAGTTGATCTTTTTTCGCGTCCTTTTAAATTATGGCGTGAAGGTGCTGAAGATAAAGAACCTGATACTGCTGATACCATTATTATTGCAACCGGTGCAGCTGCCAAGAGGTTAAACCTGCCGGGTGAAGATACCTATTGGCAAAAAGGAATTTCTGCATGTGCCGTATGCGATGGTAGGTTTATTAATTAGTAAACTTTATTTATTTATTTATTTATTTTTTATTATTATTTATTTTCATTTTATTAATATTAATTTTTATTAAATTTTTTAAAGGTGCTGTTCCAATATTCCGTAATAAATCACTTGCGGTGGTTGGAGGTGGTGATTCTGCTGCTGAGGAATCTTTATTTCTCACAAAGTATGCATCTCATGTGTATGTATGTGTTCGTAGAGATAAACTTCGAGCATCAAAAGTCATGGCTAATCGTTTACTTTCCAATCCAAAAATTACTATCCTTTGGAATACTGTGCCTATTGAATGTAAAGGTGACGGGAAACTTTTAAATAACCTAATTATCAAGGATACAAAAACTAATGAAATAAAAGAATTAAAAGTCAATGGTCTTTTCTACGCAATTGGCCATGTGCCAGCAACCGAATTAGTCAAAGGTCAATTAGATTTAGATCAAGATGGTTATATTATCACTAAACCAGATACCACTTATACAAATATTGAAGGAGTTTTCGCTGCTGGTGATGTGAAAGATAAAAAATATAGACAAGCTATTACAAGCGCTGGTTCGGGATGTATGGCAGCTTTAGAATGTGAACGTTGGTTAAGCGAACGTGCAGAAGAATAATAATAAGACAATTGTTTATTTTATTTATTATTATTTAATTTTTAATTTTGAAATTTTGATGTGTGATGTTCAATAAATCAATAAAAAATGTGTCGTACAGATCTATGATATAAATGAAAATAAAATTTTGAAAATCTATTTTTTTTTTTTAACCATGACTAATAATACACCTGATAAAGTAGAAATTGATCCTTCTACATTAAATGCTCTTTCCCCTGAGGTGATTTCAAGGCAGGCTACAATTAACATTGGTACATGCCTCTCTGTGTATGTACGTCGGAAATTGGTTTTCTTTACTTTCCTATTAATAATATTTTCAATCCGCATCCATTTTTTTAGGAACCATTGGGCACGTAGCACATGGAAAATCTACAGTAGTAAAAGCAATATCTGGAGTTCAAGTATGTTTAATAGTTTATAATAAAATCTTATATTTTGTGGGAAAAATACCTCTCATTTTTCCCTTTTGACAGACTGTTCGTTTCAAAAATGAACTCGAACGTAACATTACGATAAAGTTAGGATATGCAAATGCAAAGGTTTGTACATAAGAAATTTAGAAATGTTTCTTATTATAATTATTAATTTCTTTTTTTTTTTCTTAAAGATTTATAAATGTGAAGACGAAAATTGTCCTCGTCCTGGGTGTTATAAATCATATCGCAGCGACAAAGAAGAAACTCCATCTTGTGAAAGACCAGGTTGTGTGGGAAAAATGAGATTGCAAAGGTACTATATCCATGATCTTTACTTATATGAATTTATTTGAATAATCACTAAATTATATTTATTAGGCATGTTTCGTTTGTAGATTGTCCTGGGCATGACATTCTTATGGCTACTATGTTAAATGGTGCCGCAGTGATGGACGCTGCGTTATTACTTATTGCTGGCAATGAACCATGCCCGCAACCTCAAACTAGCGAGCATTTAGCTGCTATCGAAATTATGAAATTGAAACATATTATCATTTTGCAGAATAAGGTTGATTTGTGTAAAGAAAATGCATGTGAAGAACATTATCAAAGTATTTTGTCATTTGTTAAAGGTAATTTATCTTTATTATTTAATTTTATTATTTATTTTATTTTATTTATTTTCATAATTTAATTTAATTATTATTTCATTAGGCACGGTTGCAGATGGAGCACCAATTGTTCCTATTTCAGCTCAATTGAAATATAATATTGATGCAATTAATGAATACATTGTGAAAAAAATTCCTATCCCGGTTCGTGATTTTACATCGGATCCACGATTAATTGTTATCCGTTCATTTGACGTCAACAAGCCGGGAGCAGAAGTTGATGAACTTAAAGGAGGTGTTGCTGGAGGATCAATTTTACGAGGTGTGCTAAAGGTATTATTTAATTTAAATATCAATTTAATATAAAATTGTTTTAAGTTTAAGGATAAAATTTCATCATATTTAAAATTATTTATTATTATTATTACCTTTAATTGTTTTTTTATTGCTTTTGATAGGTAGGGGATGAAATAGAAGTGAGACCAGGAATACTTACTAAAGATAATGAAGGTCAAATACATTGTCGACCTATTTTTTCTCGAATTGTTTCATTATTTGCTGAACATAATGATTTAAAATTTGCGGTTCCTGGTGGATTAATTGGTGAATAAATTAATTCAATCATAATTATTTCCTATTTATTTATTCCGAACACTAATTTAAATATTTTCTTCCTGGTTTAGGAGTTGGTACGAGGATTGACCCAACTCTATGTCGCGCAGATCGATTAGTTGGCCAAGTACTCGGTGCGGTTGGTAAATTACCAAAAATTTATACTGAACTTGAAATCAACTATTTCTTACTTAGAAGATTATTGGGTGTTAAAACGGATGATAAGAAACAGACAAAGGTATTTAAATAACCAAAAATTTTATAACATAAATAACATAAATAACATAAATAACATAAAATAAAATAAATAAATAATAATAATAAATTATTAGGTATCAAAATTAGCTAAGAACGAAGTTTTGATGGTAAACATTGGATCCACTTCAACAGGTGGTCGTGTAATGTCTGTCAAAGCTGATTTGGCTAAAATCATGTTAACAAGTCCTGCTTGTACTGAAATTGATGAGAAAATTGCTTTATCTCGTCGAATTGATAAACATTGGAGGTATGAATAATTCATATGATTTATATATAATTCATATAATTTATATAATTGTTTATATTAATATAATATTTATTTTTTTTTACATTCAGATTAATCGGATGGGGAAAAATTAAACGTGGTGCAACTATCGAACCTGATGCGATCTAATATTAACATTTTATTTATAAATTTTGCTATTAATTATAAAATTGATAAACTTTATTTACAGCTATTGTTATTTTTCCTTTTTTTTCCTAGTACGCAAAATTTGTTCAAATTGTTCCTAAAAATGTCATTATAAAGAAATAGAATTCTCATTGATAGTTAAATGTGCATAACCTATTTTAGATTTGATGATCAATGGTGGTCAATGTTGTTGCATTATTTTATAATAATAATATAATTATAATATTTTATATTATTATAAATAGTATTTAATAACCATATTTTTTTTTGTAACAAATTATTAACTATATATATTTACACCTGACTTTTAATTACATCTCCTTCGAAGATGTTAGTTAACTTATTTGGTCAAGATTTTCTGATTGTACAGCATAAAAAGTTGCACAAAAGATTTTTTAGACATTCAAACATTTACTAATTTGTATCCAAACATCTTGTCAAAAAGATCCAAATGTATAATAGAATGCAAAACCACATATCTTTTACACGTTCTTCTTATATTCGTTGGGTTTTCAAATACTCTAGAACAAAAATGTATAACGAAATATCTTCTAATAACTATGCAACTACAACAAATACAACAAAATGTGTCACCTCAATAATTGAACTCTTAGACCGAGAAAAAATTCCTAAAGTTCGCTTGAATCCCCCGGTTTATCAACTTTCAACCAAAAGTTTCGGTATGAAGCAATAATATTAAAAGGTTAAATTAAATTTTTATATATATATAATAAAAAATCTTATACTTACTTAATTTGCTTGGAAATATCGGAAATAGCTGATACTTGTCTCAAAATTTTGAATTCGAAACCCTCATGGCATCCCGGACATGTTGGTTTTGATACAGAGACTACAGTTTACAGACGAACATGTCCACGAGTAGTATCTATGATTCAAATTGCTACTCGAGAAATCTGTTTTTTATTTCAAGTATTTCGAATTACTCAAGGGGATGCCAAAAAATTTCCTAAATTATTACAACAATTCTTAGATGACAAGAAAATTTTAAAAGTAGGAGTTAATGCGAAACATGATGCTGATTGGTTGAATAGTTCATATAAGATTACATGTAAAGGTATTGTTAATATTGAAGATATTGCAAAAGATCGAGGATATTCCGCAAGATCATTATCAGAATTAACTGCAATGTTTGGAGATACTGGACTGGTTTTAAAAAAAACAAAAAAAATATTAAAATGGAATTTTGATGATTCAAAACTGGATCCTGAATTGGTTTTATATGCATCATCTGATGCTTTCGCTGGAATTCAAGTATATGAAAATATTCTTGCGGATAAAATGAATTACAATTATTTAAATTATGAAAAACTTCATCCAATGACTAGAATAGCAGAAGAAAACGAAATGTACGAAATACTTTTACAAAATTATCCTAAAGGAAAGGTAAGCAAATAAATATATTATGTTATTATAAATGTATTATAAATTTTTCATTAAAATTAAAAATTAAATATTAAATAATAATTAATTTAGAGCCATAAACAAAGCTTATTAATAAGAGATTTGGAAAGCAAATATGAACGTTGGATTAAAACAAAGCCCAAATCACTAGATCGACATAAAGAAGTGGTTAAAACGATTGAAACATTTATTAGCAATGGACGTCTTATTGCTGTTCAAGCTGTTCAGGAAGCCAATGAGAAAAAGACTTTAGAATCATCTTCAACTAATACAGAAGTAGATAAATCCGATAAATCATCAGAAAAATTAGATAAATCCGATAAATTAACAGATAAATTAACAGATAAATTAGATAAATCCGATAAATTAACAGATAAATTAGATAAATCCGATAAATTAACAGATAAATTAGATAAATCCGATAAATTAGCAGATAAATTAGATAAATCTAATAAATCAGAACGATTACTCAAAATTCCTGGTTTCTCGCTCGTAACTATTCTTGCTAGTTCATTTGCGGATAAATCTTTACCTTCTAAAGGTCTTTCTCCTGAAGATTGTGCATTTTTAAAAGAAATATCATCTTACATTTTGAAAGCTATTAGAAAAGAGTCACTTGTTAAATCATATATTAACAATGGGAAAAACAAATCAATAGATACAAAAAATGAAGCAGTTATTTTTGAGAGGATCAATGAACTGGTACGTAAAAATGTATTGAAATTAGGCGAGAAACAAAATACAGTTCTTTGTGATTCGAGATGGTTAGAAGAATTAGAAAATGGCTATGATAAATTCATTTTGGAAAATAAAGAATTAGAAGGTAACAAATCATCTGATGAATTAATAAATGAGACAAATGTAATTGTGGAATCCTCGAAGTTTTCTAACACGGAAACTGGAATGAATTTAACTTCAGATCAATCGAGTGGTGATAATCTAATAGTTAACCTTTAAATTAGAGTGAATGAGAGAAATAATTGGAAATCATGTGAGAAATAATGAAATTATTGGGTTTAAAGTGTATTAATAATTTATTTATACAAGAGTTGGCTTCTACCCTAATAAAATAAATGAAAAAAATAAGTGAAGATAAATGTAATATAACAAATAACAAATAAATGTTGTGTTATTACTATATATTAATAAGTAATAAACGTGTAAAATTAAGAATGAACACGTAAATTATATTTACATACATATATATATATATATATATTTTTTTTTTGTCTAATCAATTGAACTGATACAATAATACAGTAATATTTATTTCAGAAATAAAAATTTAATTTCTAATAAATATAATAAATATATTTAAAGATATTGCAAAAACTATATACAATGTAGAACCAAAAATGTTGAATAATAATAAAAAGTACAGAAATCACATAATGTCCGCATATATAAAATTACTGAAACTTATTAAAAAAAAAAAACTGATTGAAAAACATATTAAAAAACGAATTTAAAATATATTATAAATATATTGAAACATACTTTAAACGTACTGAAATACTAAACAATATTATTGAACTTGATCGTCGCAAATGTTTTTTTTTCTTTTAATATCGCATTGTTGTTCGTATTATTATTATTCGTATTATTCGTAATAATATTTAAATTGATTTTAAATTAATATCTACGCGGACGATCCGGTGGTCGTGTTAAAGGTCTTGAAGCTGGCGTTCCAGAAGGACGCTACAATTATAAATAATAATAAATAAATATAATGTTATATTCTTTATTTATTTCAAAATCTCTTATTTATTTACCCTTGGAATATTATTATTCATATGACCTCTGCCATATGGACCTGGACGATCAATATAAGGTGGTGGTGCGTTTGGTCGATAATCATTTCTGTGATAATATGGATATGGTTCTTCTCTCCCTCGACCCTAAAATTTACATTAAATCAAATCAATAAATTTATAAAATTGGTAATTTATAAATAAAATAAATTAAAGAAAAAAAAAAAACTAACCATCATTCCATTTCCAGACATCCCACTTGGGCCTGTAGGTGGTGGTCCATAAATACTATTATTATGATGATTCAAAGATTCAGAGTAATGCATCCCGTTAGACATAGGTCGTGGTCTCTTATATAATGGTCCTAATGGAGGTGAAGATTCTTCGTTATAACGTTTTAAGCTAAAGGGTATTTGATGATGAAATGCCGTAATGTCATCATCTGGTCTGTTAAAAGATGAAGTATTGGAATCTGTTCGTTCATGATTTGAAAATCGACCAGAATCTGTTCGCTCATGATTCGAAAATCGTCCGGAATCAATTCGATCATGATTAGAATAAAGAAATGATTCGTATCGATCGAGATTCGAAAAAAGACTTGCTTCGTAACGATCATAAAGTGGAAAGGGGCTTAATTCTGAACGGGAGTGATTTGAAAATGGTCCAGTTTCGGATTTTTCGTAATTTGAAAAATTATTTGGTTCATTTCTTGTGTGATTTGGAAAAAGTCTGAAATCATTTCGTTCGTGATTTGAAATTATGGGACTTGTCAACACTAAAAATGAATTATAATAAACATAATGTAATAAACATAATGTAATAAATATACAATGCAATAAACATAATGTAATAATATATAATAAATAATATGTTTATATCTTGCAAAAAAAAAAAAAAATCAGCAGAAAAATTTATTATAATACCAAGACATATACCATTTGGTTTATCTTCTTTCCCTTTATTATTTATTAACAATGAAACCTCAAAAGGTTTAAACTTTGGTGGTGGTGAATTTTTCCTTTAATCAGAATCAAATTTAGAAAATCAAGATTTTTAAATATTACTTATTATGATGGAATTTTATGAAATTGTTCACTCACTCTGATATATTAGTAGAAATTCCATTCTCGGATTTAGCATCTGGCTCTTGCTCTTGTTCAGGTTCCTCGGAATTTTCGGCTTGTAAATCTCGTAATATTGCCCACTTTCCACTCTTTTTTTTGGAAATTTCTTCAATTTTGGATTTAATAAAATTTAAACTTGGATATTCATCATCGGTGCCTTCAAAATCTGCCGAATTAATACTTTTTTCATCTTCGCTTTCATTAATATTTCGTCCTCCACCTCCTATACTGCCTGCTTCTAAATTGTTCTTAGAATTATTATTATTGTAATCTGGTGGTTCAGGCGGTGGTCTTTTGGGTTTCGTATTTGATTTATTGGTTTTTTTGTCATTTAAGGGTGATGATATAAAAGGTGATTCCGAAACTTCTTTTGATGATTTTACTCCATTCATATTATTATTTTCGTTTGGAGACTCGTGATCATAATATGGTTCGATCGAGTCTCCATCCGAACAATCAAAATTCAAATTTTGTTCGTTGTCTGAATAATCGATACCATTTTGATTATTTTTTTCGTTATTTTCTGATAAACCATCCGCAACTGAATTTTGATAATTGTCCCAACCATCTAAACTAGATTCATGATCTGAAGAAGATAATTCGCTTAGCGCAGAAGATACTTCTCCCTCACTTAAATATCCATTTGTCTGACGACTCTCCGTATCAACTGAACAACTTAAGCCATTAACTGTTATTGATTTAACTTTTTCACCCTTTAACTTGTTTCTAATAATATTATTCTTATTATTTGTATTATTTGAAACATTATTAGAAATATTGTCCTCTAAATAAAATCTTTTTACTATTTGCTTTCTTGTTTTTTCCGGAATTGGTGGTGGAACAGGATAAACTACTTTATGAAACTTTTGTTTTTCGGCCATTTTCTTTTCTAAAAACAATTAGATTAATAGAAAAAAAGAATATAAGATTAATGATATATAAAAAAAACCACCCAATTTTTGTTCAGTTAACATGGTTCAGTCAGATGATATATTTTTAATTTACGGAACTGAAACTTGATCACATAGATGATCATCTCTATCAATGGAAGATTGTAAAACATTCCATGTTTAATGATCGTCTATTCGAAAAAAAAAAATAATAGATTTAAATTATATTTTGATCTTTTAACATTTTTAACATCCATCCATATCATTACTATGAGGTTATTATTATTATTATTATTATTATTATTATTATTATTATTATTATTATTATTATTATTATTATTATTATTATTAT